ACACACACACACACACACACACACACACACACACACACACACACACAAACTAAACTGCTCTCTCCTGCCAGAGAAAGCTAACAAACTGAGATTCCAATATTCATCAGCCAGCCGAAGAAGGCAAGCCTAAGCCTTGCCTTGCTGGATCTGTGTCATGGCAAGTGTCCAACTGGGCTGAGTCACTGCAGCCATCCCCCTGCCTCTGCATCACTCAATTCTCCCCAAAGCACAATCGAATGTTCCTGTGTGTATATTGCAGGGTGAGGGCGGAGTATCTGTTCTGTTTGAGACTCTCCCTAAAAGTACAATCTCCTCACACCCATATATCATTTCAGAGATTTGGCCTACTGAGGAATCTTCTTTGATGCTGAACCTCAATCCTTAACACTGTATAGGGTTTAGGGTGGAAGTGGGGGTGGTGAATGGAAGAAATCCTTTTTGGTCTGGTCCATAATAGATGTTAAAAAGGTAAATTTTCTTCAGCCTCTATCCCTACCCTATACCAGCACAGATTCTGAGATGAGGTGAGAGATCATCCCCATCAGGCACGAATCCTTTCCCACTGAGGGGGGAGGGGAGAGACTGAGGTCCAAGTAACTTCATGAGTCAGGGTAGGGAAGAGAATGAGTCAGGGAAGGAAACTGAAATTCCCATTCTCTGGGAGGTTGGGGGAAGGGAGGTAGAAAGAACTGTGGTATTCCTGATCAGAAACCCCTCTAAAAATCCTGGAATCACAGTCACTTGAGAAGAAGTCATGTTCCAAATAGCTCCCAAATCCCCCTACTAGGCAGCCCCTCAACCAGTATTTCTGGAGTGAAGGGAGAGAGGGGTGATAAGGGAGAAGAGATAAAGAAGAAACAGTAAGTATTCCCCTCCCTCTGCCTTGGAAGGGAGTGATCCTGACATCGCACCTCCATCCCTACACCTGCACTATTCCTTATGGAGAAAAAGAAGAGGGAGAAGGAAGAAAATGTGTATTGGAGGCTTGGAGCTCATTCCTCATCCCCTGCTCAAGCTTCTCACAGATAAACACTTACAATGAGGAAGAAACAATGGCCCACCTGACCATGTGGGAGAGCCACAGGGAGAAAGACCGAGGCATCTCTCTGGAGCTCACTCTAGAGAGTATGAAGTAGTTAAGGGAATAACTTTTCCTTTCCAGCTAACCAGAACTTAAGGTTATCATCCCTTCCTTCTCTACCTTCCCCCTTCCCAGGCACCCAGCCCATCCTGGGGCACACATCCCAGATAGGTGGGAAAAAAAAAGTCTACATGACCATCTCCAGTGGTATTCCCACCCCATTTCCTAATGTAACCACAATCCTCCACTTCCTCAGTCCTATCCCTCATCCCTCTCAGTCCCTACTGAAGGTCAGTGCCCTTGTTCTATGATGCAAAGGCCAATTTCTTTGGTGACTCCCTATCTGCTTTTCTTTTTTTTTTTTTAAGGGCAACTAGATGGCAGAGTGGATAGAGTACTGGAACTGAAGTCAGGAAGACTTATTTTCATGAGTTCAAATCTGACCTCTGGGGCATCCAAGGCAAATCATTTAACCCTGCTTGCTCAGTTTCCTCATCTGTAAAATGAGCAGGAAAAGGAAATGGCAAACTACTCCAGCATTTGTCAGGAAAACCCCAAACGGGGCCACGAAGAGTTGAACACGACTGAACAGCAACGGCTTTTTGCAGTAGGCACCCAGCTGTTGATGCTCAAAGAAAATTGTCAAGACTAACCGTGCCTATTTGGGTATATCACCATATTTCTCTTCCCCACTCAAGGCCAACAGCCCCTGTCACTTTCCATCTCAAATCAAGATGACCTCAAGTCCCAGAGCTCAGGGCAATACCTACAGGTGCTATAGAAGTAGTTATTCTGCCTTAAGGCAAGAGAGCAGCAATGACCCCAGTGAACACGGGGCACTTTCCATAGGTCCTTAAAAGCTGAACTTCTTGAGGTAATAGTTAAATAGCTTGGCCCTAAGGAAGATGATCTGTGCTATAGTGAAAAGAACGCTAGGGTTCAAATCTGGGTTCAAATTCTGACTTTGCTACTTACTCAAATCAACAAGAAACATTTTCTATCTGTGTTGCCTCAGACAAGTCACCTCATTTCAATGGACCTCAGTTTCCTCATCTGTAAAATGATTCCTGCTACACGACCCTGGGATGATTAAGGCTTGACCTGCACCTCCAATTATCCCTTCCACATTGTGGGAGTTAGGGTTTCAGCTCCCCTGCGATACAGAAAATCCTCATGAAATTTTTTGGCCCTCCCTTCATACTAGAAAAGAAGTCTGAACTATTATGATATTAAAGATAAAATGTGTTGATAATAAACAATAATATACATATATTTTATGCATTTCTGAGTTTCTAAACTTTTTCTGTGTCATCTGCTGACCTTCGTGCATCGTCTACGGCTTCTGCAAAACTCCCCCAAAATTCCAATTTAATAGCTTGTGCCAGGGGTGGGGAACCTACCACCTTAGGGCCACATGTGGCCTTCTAGGTCCTTAAGTGTAGCCTTTTGACTGAATCCAAATTTTACTGTAAAATTTTACCCCCAGCTTATGCTGACCCTCGATATATTGAAACTATGATAGGGAAAGTCACAATGTGGAGGGGAAAACTGTAGTTCTAGTCAGATCTAGGCTGCTGAAAACTTCAGCAGGCGTACTGATGTGGCATCATTATAATTCCATCTTCATCATCCTGAATAGGTCTGTCTGGTTAATTTTTAGAAACCACTCCTCTTTTGCTATCAGTCCATGCTTCCTGACCCCACTGCCCCATCAGAAATGTTACAGCTGCCAAAGTAGACTCGTTGCATGAAAATTCTATGTAAACCCGGGCCCCCAGTGGCTCTGGGCCTTCTACTGGAACACACATCCCACTTTGCATCCACAATACCACTCAGCATGTTGTCCCATAAGACAGTAGAGGCAGGGGAGACCACGTGTGACTGTAGCCCCATTGGTATCTGTCCATTTCCTCCCAAGCTGTTCTTGGCTGTGAGCATTAATAAAACATTCTAAGTCATTCCAGCATGACTTTGTACCGTTCACTCAGACTCTGCCTTGAATTTGCATGATTTATATGATCGTTAAGGTCGCTACCAACTTTAAGGAAGTTAAATCCCTTCCAATTTCTAGGGATCTATGGATCCCTTTCTCGCAACTGCCTCTGCCATCCTCAGTCCTTCCAGCCAAGCAACAATAAGCAAAAAGGGGCCCAAGGGGGAAGACCATTCTACCTTAAGGCAAAATGGTTGACAGGAAGAAGGATGGATGACCTCAGGAGGCCACCTCAAATACAGCTTCTACCCTTACTCTACAACTGAAACCCAACAGCTCCCAGGGAAAGACTTTAAAGGAAGATGAGGCTGAGGATTGATCTTTAATTCTCTCCACCTTCTGGTTCCTCCCTTTAATCTGCTTCCTGATCCTTCCCAGAAGCTCTTGCCTGTCTGGCTCTTGTTGAAATCTCAACATAACACAATCCAGATGCACAGAAAGAAGAATGGTATGGGATGGAGGAGGAGGGGGAAGAGAGTCTAGGAAGGACATACAGGCAGTTGGGAGGATTCAGATCCCAAACATGGTCCTTCCCAGGTCATCTCATCCACCTTCCTGCCTAGTACAAGTTTGTAACCTGTTCTCCTCTTCCTGAGGCCTTCTGAGGAAGAAGTGTTCACTTCCCCATCCCCCAGAGTCCTCACTTCACAATATTCTTGGTCAAGAAAACTTTCCTGAGGGGCAGCTGGGTGGCACAGTAGATAGAGCTCTAGCCTTGGAGTCAGGAGGGCCTGAGTTCAAATCTGACTGCAGACACTTGACATTTACTAGCTGTGTGACCCTGGGCAAGTCATTTAACCCCAATTGCCTCACCAAAAAGAAAAAAGAAAAGAAAAGAAAAGAAAACTTTCCTGAGATCTACACTTTGCCCCCACCTGTTACCATTTCAATCCATTCTCTTTGGTACAGCCTTCCAAGAAGAGTGACCTAGAGAATCTTAAAGGGCCCACTAATTTAGTTCTCCCTCAGTTATCTCTTTCCATGCAAAATAAACGCAACTCTTACCTTCCATTCCTTCCTTCCCATCTACCTTTAACTCCTATCCCTCCATTTCAATGTTCTTCCCAGGCCTGACTTCCCCTCCCCCAGGTCCCTCTCACTCTCCTCTCCTTTTCTCCATATCCTTCCTTCCATCTTCCCCTCTCTCTTCTAGTGCCTCCCTTCCATGTTACCCATCACCTCTGCCCAGTACAATCCACAGCCCTTTCCTTTTATCATAGCTCTGTCTCCAGCAGAGCTAGGGTTCTCTCCACATCACTGAGTGGACAGATGAGTTAGAACCAGTTGGACTGAGAGCAAGGAGACCTGGGTTTGAGTCCCAGTTGTGGCACAAACTAAGATCTAACTTTGGACAACTTATTTACTCTCAGTCTTCCCATCTGTGAAAAGGAAGAATACTTTGTATTTATATGGGACCATTATTAGTTCTATTTTACAGATGAAGAAACTGAGGCTCATAGTGGTTAAATGACTTGCTCACGGTCACACAGCTAATAAGCATCAGAACTGAGATTGAAGTCCAGATCTCTCCAGACTCCAAATCCAGAGCCCCAACCCAGTCACTAAAGTTCCTTCTAGCTCAAGAATTCTATAAGAATGTAGAGTAATAGGTTCAATCAACAAGCATCTATGAAAGGCTCCCTCCTCCATTTCAGGCACTAGACAAAAGTTCAATAGTCCCTACTCTTAAGGAGCTCATACTGTAATGGGCCAGATGACATGTATAGGTTTAGACCAGACATATACAAGTCACAAGGAAACTTTTAAAAAAGAAGGTACCAGCAGCTGGAGGGGACCAGGAGATGCTTTCTGCAGAAGATGGAAACTGAGCTGAGTCTTGAAAGAGAACCTTCCCCACAGTGGTTCTAGGAGGTAGATGTGTGATGGGAAGACTTTCCAGGCATGGGGGATGGCATTGTAGTAATAATAATAATAATAATAATAATGAGCTGACATAATAGTTTTATGGTTCACAAAGCACTTTTATAAATATTATCTCATTTTATTCTTACAATCCCCTTGGGAGATAAGTATCCCATTTGGAAGAAATTGAGCCCAACAGAGGTGAAATGACTTTTCCTGGGCAATACGGTAAGTATCTGAGGTAGGGTAGCTAGGTAGCATAGTGGATAGAGGGCCAGACCTGGAGTCAGGAAGATCAGAATTCAAATCCAGCATCAGACACACTTATGAGCTGGGTGACCCTGAGCAAGTCACTTTACTTAACCATTTGCCTCAAGTTTCCTCATTTGGAAAATGAGCTAGAGAAGGAAATTGCAAACCAGTCCAGTATATTTGCCAAGAAAACCCCAAAAGCGGTCACAAACAGTCAGACATGGCTGAAAATGACTAAACAAAAATCTGAGGTAGGATTTGAATTCAGGTCTTCCTGACTCCAGGTCCAGAGATCAAATGTAAGGATAATAAGGGATCTCAGAGGTCATTTAATCAATTAATCAAACAACAAGTATTAAGTGCTTACCATGTGCCAGCTACTATGCTTGGCCCTAGGGATACAAGAACGGAGAACGAAACAAACCCAATACCTATGGATGTAGAAAGTGAGGCCTATAGAGGTTAAATGACTTATCCAAGGTAGTAAGTAATAGAACTGGAATCTGAACCCAAGTCTTCTGATTCTAAATCAAACATTTGATCTAAAAGTGTCTAGTTCAGGGACTTGGTTGGAAAAGAGCTCTTTTCTGATGAAATAGACCTGAAAGAAGAAAGGACAGGACACAAAGTTCGGAAAATCCTATCCCTTAGAGAATACCACCTTCTCTTTAGAGGGAACTTTCCCCTAGCCCCAAGTTCTCCATTTTTCTGAATCTTCTACTATCTAGACTCTCCTAAATTATTGTAGTAGATGATTAATATTTGTTGCATATTTGAACTAAACAATTGAACTAAAGTTAAGCCCCCATCGGGTCAGGTCACTGTGAGCAGAGCACTAGTATAAACAAAGGATTGTTTGATGGGGGTCAGGATTGTCTTAGGCTGGGGGAACTTTTGGGTTCCTCTGGAGCTCTACAAGCCAGATGAGGGGGTACAAGGGGCTATAGATTGGGAAGGATCAGTAGGAATAGCAAGAGTCAATTGTCATAGTGCCAGTGAGAGACAGAGGGGAAAGAAGAAAGTGAGGAAAAGTTGAGGGGCAGGAAGGACAAAGGCAGGCGTCTGTATTAAACAACCGCCAGATTCTCTGTGTGTTTTTCCCCCAGCTGCTAGTAGCTGTTAGACCTTGGATCTCACCCAAACTACATCATTAGTCTGGCTTACAGGGGACCTGCAGCCCCCCCAACTATTCTTCCCAGCTCCTACCTGAGAATGGGGCCCTGAAGATGACTCCTCTGCACCGGTATAGGGGTGGCCATGGGAGTCAAATCCCTTCTCTGGAGGTCAAAACACTGCTCCTGAGGCCATCGGGCCCCTAAGGGAAGTTGCTCCTGTTCAGCCCCCTGGCTTCCTCTCTGAGTCCCCTCCTCAGCAAGGCTTTGCTGGGACAGAGGAGAACTCTGGGGAGGGGAAGAGAAAAAGACCAGGCTACAACCCAACCCACAGGAACTGGGTGAGAGGCCTGGGATCGGAGGAAAGTTTCACATCTGAATCAGACCAAAAACAAGAAACTGTTCTCAGAAGGATCCCAGAAAGGACAAAAATAGCCCAGCCCTGCCCAACTCCAGAGACAGGGGACCATTCTTCTTTACAGAGAATGAAGAAGAACAGGGAGGTGGAGGAGGCAGTGATTAGGGAAGAGGCCCAAGGAATCTGGGTGCAGGGTGGGGAAGCGTCACCCAGAATGTCTACCTGAAACAAGGCCCAGGCATCCCAGCTCCCAGATGTTAGTGACCAGCAGTAGTTCACCAATCCTACCTACTCCTTGATTTGGTTCAAGCCCCAAATCCTGGCCTTTTGTGTCTGGGGATATAGCAATGGGCTTTGTTAACAGCTAGAAGGGAGAAGATGAGACTTGAGGGTGAACTTCCCCCACTCCGCTCCCACTAACATTGGCAAAAACTGGTAGAGTAGAGGAGGAGTGCAATTAGAAATAGCCAGGGTGTTTCCTTTCCCCTTAACCTAGGGGAAAGGAAGGGACGGGAAAGATTCATTCGGCTACAGTAGCATTTATTCAGCCCAGAGGCGAAAGGATGAAGTGAATGTGGAGTCAGGATGTTTTGCACCATTATTCCGAGGTTCACTCTGAGGCTGTAGCAAAACGGAGACTGGCCCCCACCAAAAACTGGAGGGGGGCCGAGGAGGGGGGCGGGGGCGAAGAACGTACAGACACCAAAGACCTGTGGTGAGCCTGTTCAGCCCGGAATTCCAGCCTGCTTTCTGATTGGCTAAGGGATTCAAGCCCCCGCCCAAACCCTGGTTGTCTGTGAGATGACTTCATTTTTAGGAACCAAGATATTGCCTACGACTGGTTTGTCCATGGCATGGGAGGAGCCAGGATAGAGTGGCTGGAGGGAAACTAAGCTAGATGCAGAGGTGATTTTTAGTCTAGAAACTGAAACGGAGGGAGGGGGCAGGTAATCATTTCAGATGATGGGGACGGAGCAAAGAGCAGGGATTTTACAGCAGCGAGTGGAGGCTGAGAGAGATGCATTTACCTAGCCCTATGGTAGAACCATATGATTATACAGCCGTAGACTATAGAAGAGAGGCAACAGGGATTATATTTGGACCTTAGGGAGAACTTCTTTTTGGTCAACTGATAACAGAAGTTGGGATAGAGAGGTTTTAAAAGAAGAGGGGCAACTAGGTGGTGCAGTGGATAGGGCACTGGCCCAGGAATCAGGAGGACCTGAGTTCAAATCTAGCCTCGGACGCTTACTAGCTGTGTGACCCTGGACAAGTCACTTAACCCCGATTGTCTCAAAAAAAAAGTAAAAATAAAAAAGAAGAGAAGCTCCTTTTTCTGCTCAATCATTCAGTTTCTCTATCAATCATATAAGAAGCATCCGCTACATTCAGGGTACACTGTGCGGCCTTCTCAAGGCATTAGATTTGAAGTCAGGACCTGAGTTCAAATTCGGACTCTGCTACTTAACTACCTGTTGTCACCTTGGACAAATCCCAAATACTCTGGGCATCAGTTTTCTCATCTGTAAAATGAAGCAATTGGAATAAAGATATTCTCTAAGGACCCTTATAATTCTGAACAATAAGATGCTTTGATTGGTTCCTTAGTTTGGCATGGAGGCAGGAACTGGGCCCAATGAAGAAACATGAGGTGTGGTCTCCAATGGAACATTTTAAAGGATACAATGCCTGGCCAGAGGGAGCTCCTGGGGTGAATAGTTTTCCTATCTACTGGCCCAACTAATTCTCTGGATAGCATGGCCCTGTCAGCAAGAGGCCAACCTTGGAGTCAGGCCTGGGTTCACATCATGGCCCTGATTTATACTAGCTATGTGACACTGTCATTCAGTGGCTCGGTCCCCCCCTCCCAAGTCCCCGCTCCCAAAGCAGTTCTCTGACACTGTACGTTATAGAAGCTGGCAGACTGATATATCTTTAGAGAGAAATTCCACAGCAGGAGTTCCTCTTCAGTGATGAAAGCACAAGAAAGGCACTCACACACACTACAGGATGCTGCACTAAGATTTAGGAAGAGCTACAAAGGTGACCAGTTTGCCATAGGTTCAGGACCTTTACAGACAGGACTTAACCTTTTGCTATGCCAATATGCTTACTTAGGAGGTAAATGAGGGCCTGGGAAAGTAGGAAACCCTGAGGAAAATAAAGCAACAATCCTTGGCTCTGACCCTGACAGTATCCTAACCACAGAGACCAACCTGGGCAGCTCTCCAGAAACGGTGCTCCCCAGACCAGCCCCCAACCTGCTGCCTCATTCCTTGACCTCCTAAACCACCAAGGAAGGCAGCTAACCTCCAGCCCTCCAGGTGTGAGGCAGTAGGGCCTCAGTCTAAAAGAGACTTCACTCATCCTAATTCATTCTTCAGCTAATGTGCCCAAACAATTCCCATAAGATGAGATGGTATCATGTTTAATAAAATCTTCCAGAGATGCTGATTCTACCTGTTAGGCTGGGCCTAACCACTAGGTAGGGTAGCAGATAGAGAGTGCTGGACTTGGAGTCAGGAAGACCTAAGTTCACATCCTGCCACAGACAATCCCTAATTGTGTGAACCTGGCTCAATTTTCTCATTTGTACTACACAGAGGTTGAATTTGATAGCCTCCCAGGTGCCTTACAGCTCTAAATCTATGATCCTAAAGCCTGTTGCTGCTAGGAAGTTCCTCCTTATGTCTAATCTAAATCCACCCTGCCATAGTTATCAAGCATTGGGCTGTCTTCAGAATAGTTATCCCCTCCTGGCTCCCAAAGCAAACGCTCTACTTAGCCTGAACTACACAATGACAATGTAATGTTAACACCCAGGCTGCTGATGAGACTGCTGGCCTCCCTTCCTACCTCCCTGGAGCAGGGGTAACATTAGCTTGATTCAATTCAATAAAACCTCAAAAAAGAAGGGTCTTACACAGTGCTTAATAAATGTTTGTCGGGGCAGCTAGGTGGCTCAGTGGATAGAGCACCGGCCCTGAAGTCAGGAGGACCTGAGTTCAAATCCAGCCTCAGGCCAAACACTTGACACTTATTAGCTGTGTGACCCTGGGCAAGTCACTTAACCCCAATTGCCTTTAAAAAAAAAGAATATAAAAAATAAATGTTTGTTAACTTTAATCTAGGATAGGTAAAATAATCGAGTCCTGTTTGTACTACCTGGCCTACAGGCAGGGCAATAGATATGGTAACCCCAGCTAAGGTCAAATGTACTACCTTTTTTCCAACTGCTAAAACTGGAAATAAACCTAGGAGCGTCTTCCTCACTATGGCCAGCACCAAAATCCTCCACCCTTGGGAGACCTAAGAATAGAGGCAACTAGGTGGCCTAACAGATGGAGCCCTGGAGCTGGAGTTAAGAAGACCTGAGGTAAAAATCTGTCTTTGGACACTTACTACCTGTGTGACCCTGGGCAAGTCACTTAACTTCTGTCTACCTCAGTATCTTCATCTGTAATATGGGGATAATAGTAAACCCTAACTCCCCAGGTTATTAGGAGGATAAAAGGAGCTATTTGTAAAAGTGCTATATAAATGCTATTATTATTAATAGCAATGATTATAATAACAAAGGATGATTTTGTAATAGCAACTAAAGGTGAGGAAGGCAGCATGTGCGTTATGACTGTCATTTTAACAGCTGAGAAAGCAGAGATGTTCAGAGAGATTGAACAGCTAAATTCAGATGCAGAGGGGCATTAAAGAGAGGGCAGTCTTGGTTGGTGAGAGGAGCTAGAGGTCCACAAACCCCAGATGACAAGGGTACGTGAACAAAGCTAAGAAGAGGAATATGAGGGAAGGTGGGACGCTGACCCAAGAGTCGCTTCCCCAGATCCTGATCTGTTCCCATCTTATTTGCACCCTGGTCCTTAATGGCAAAGCTACAACCCCACCCCACTCCTTTCTACCCCTCTGTACTGTCTTTCCCTGTTCTGATGGGATAGGGAGGCAGGAAATAAACCAGTGACAATAGTCCATTAGAGGGTGAGCAGATTGAAGATCTAGAGGGCTGGGAGCTCCCCTGTAGCCACCTGGGTCCAAGATTCACATTCCCACCACCACCACCACTACACAACATGCCCTTACTTTCCATAGCTGTGCCCACATCCCCAGCTCTGGCAGCTGGTTGGGCAGAGTGGCGGGGGCGGCACCAAGAGATAAAAATAGCCCCCCTGGTGGCAGAGCTGGGGGAGCCATCCTGAGAGTCAGCAGGGCCCAATAGTGTTAAAGCAGTAATGGGAGAACCAAAGCGCAGGGGAACCAATCTTGGTCTAAGATAACACTAGAGGAGAGAGGCTAGGGCTGGGGGAGAGAGGCTGAAAGGAAATGGGGGCAAGGAGAGAAGAGCAGGGGCTCTGGGATATCGTGAAAAACAGGCAGTGACTGCTCCTAGACACTGGCCAAGAGCTAAAAGGAAGGATTCAAGCTATCAAAGCAGCTTAAAACAGCTCTCAGCCTTTCCCTGCTGCTACACCCTGCCCTCCAAGCTCTGTTATCTACCACTTGACAAGAACATGTTTCTGACAAGTGTCCCCTGGCTCGGGCTTCAGCGTTTTCTCCCCTCCGTTCAGGTCAGATGAGGACCAAGGGCTGCAATGCTAAAGAGCCAGAGAGCATAATGATCACAGCCTACCAGGCCAGGCCCCAGGGCAATGAGAACCCACCACCCACAGAGGGTCACTTCTCCTACCAGCTCAAGGCCGTGCCTGGGCTACGGGGAGAAGGAAGTGAGGAGAAGACCCTTGGAAGAACAGAGATGGGAAAGTGAAGAGGGAGGGGAGAAGATGTGCGGAGGAGAATCATATCCTCAGGAGCCAAGAGAGAAGAGGAAATCTGCCTCCAGCTCACACCCTCACCTGTGTTGCCCCTTCTCCTTCCTCCCTAGTGCTAATTAACTGCTTGTTAAG